CAACTTTTGCCTTGGAGGTATGGTCAAATTCATATCCTGTCTCTTATACACATCTAGATGTGTATAAGAGACAGGGCATAGGGATGGCAGATGTGGGGCCAGCGGAACGGACACCAGAGCGGAGGTGAGCGGAGGTGGAGAAGTGGGCGGAGGTGGACAGGAGATGGCTCCCCGAGGCGAAGAGGAAATGGTTTAAGGAGAAGTGGGAGGTGGCGGAGGCGGAGATGTGATGGCAGGAGGAGATGATGGGAGGAGGAAGGGCGGGAAGTAGCGGAGGCGGAGGGGTGGTGATGACGGGAGGAGATGATGAGAGGAGGAAGGACGGGAGGTGACGGAGGCGGGAAGGAAAGCGAGAAGGTGGAGGAGAAGTGGGCGGAGGTGGAGAGGAAATCGAAGGAGGAGGCAGACAGGAGGAGGCAGACAGGAGGTGGCGGAGGCAGACATGAGATGACGGGGGGAGGTGGACTGGAGGTGGAAGAGGCAAAGATGTGATGCCGGAGGCAATAGTTGGAGGAGGTGGACGGGAGGTGGCAGAGGCGGAGAGGAGATGGTGGGAGGAGGCGGACGAGAGGTGGCGGAGGTGGAGAGGAGATGGCAGGAGGAGGCGAAGGGAGGTGGCGATTCTCTTACGACGAACCCTCTATTTCAACGGGCTCGACAATCCAGGCCGCCTGAGGCGGAGGGGTGATGTCAGGAGGAGATGACGGGAGGAGGAAGGACGAGAGGTGGCGAAGGGGGAGGAGAAGTAGCGAAGGCGGGGAGGAAAGTGAGGTGGAGGAGAAGTGGGCGGAGGTGGAGAGGAGATGGCAGGAGGAGGTGGAGGGGAGGTGGCAAAGGCAGAGAAAAAATGGCGGGAGGAGGCGGATAGGAGGTGGAGGAGGCAGAGAGGTGATGGCGAGAAGAGATGGCGAAATGAGGCGAACGGGAGGTGGTAGAGGCAGAGAGGAGATAGCGGGAGGAGGCGGACGAAAGGTGGTGCAGGCAGAAAGGAGATGGCGGGAGAAGGCGGACGAGAGGTGGCGGAGGGCCGGAGGCGGAGAGATGATGGTGGGAGGAGATGGCGAGAGGAGGCAGACGGGAGGTGGCGGAGGCGGAGAGGAGATGGTGGGAGGAGGCAGCCGTGCAACAGGCCAATGGCAGGCACGACGGACCCTTTGTTGCAATGGGCGAGACGATACCGAGCTGATGGCTCGGATCGTCCCACGATCTTAAGACTTTAAGATCGTGCAATGATGCAGGCCGTCCGGCAGGGCAGACACGGCAGACAGGGCGGACGACCTGGATCGTCCCGCGATCTTAAAGTCTTAAAGTCTCAAGATCGCACGAAAATCCGAACCATCGGCCGGTTAACAGTGGACAGCCCGGATTGCCCAATTCTCTCGTTAGTGATTTTTATAAGTGTAGGGATTATGAACAGTGGACAGCCCGGATTGCCCAATTCTCCCGTTAGCGGTTTTTATAAGTGTAGGGATTATCTTGTTGGTATATATTTAGGAGGCCGTCAATATAAAGAATCCAAGGATATAGTACAATTACTCTTTTTTTTTTAACCACCACTACCTTTTCAAGTTGTAGTCCATTTGGGGAAATGACCTTATCCGACAAGTTCGGGGGTCCGCCGTAGGGTATCTAGGAAAGGAAAAAAGAAAAAAAGATTGGGACCCCGCGATCCCGCAATGAGGGGAAAAAAAAAAAAAAACTAGGAACTTTAAAACCAGCAACTTCGGGGAAGGCCCTCGCGGCGTGGAAGTCACACCAGTGCTCTGAGGAATGTATTTGGTCGGCATGTGGGGAATGTTATGGTTGATGTTATCGTTTTATTTTCATTTTTTCGTTTGGCGTTAGTACCCTGCCTACGAGGCAAGGCGGATTCCGTTGGGGGCAGCCAACTGCCTCACCCATGGCATACTCACACCTGCACTGTAGCATCCTGTATTGGACCGCAATAGTAGCATGAGGGGAGTTGTTTTTTTTGCCTTCATTCGTTTTTCATACAGATAGGTGCCCTCACTGAGGGCACAGTCTCACCAACACCTCATAGAATATATCTGACAACTATCACGACATGTGGGGTAGTTCTTTCTTTTTCCTTTTTTTTTTAATTTGGGATGTAACGGTCGTGAGTACCAGTTTAGAAATAGGAATGGGATCCAGGCTCGACAAAACTCGGTGCGCAATGAAATTAAGGTTCGGCAAAAACCGGATCGGAGATAGTGGTGGTTTAATGAAGACAGAATTGAATCGATCCCCTTAAGAGTCGTTTACAGAGGTGTTTACATAAGGAGGGTGGGGCGGAAGGGGGAAGGGTTGAGAGCCCACAGAGCTTCGTGGTTAGGGAACTTTGTCGTTAGGGTGTAGCATCAAGCAAGTATCAGGATTTTAACTCATGGTGATCTGTATATCCATTCCCTGAGACAGAGAGACAAAGACTGCAAAGCAAACCAAAAAACGTAGTTGAAAGCAAAGGGAAAAGTCATTTTTTTTTCTCTCTCTCTCTCTCTCTCTCTCTCTCTCTCTCTCTCTCTCTCTCTCTCTCTCTCTCTCTCTCTCTCGCACACACACACACACACAAGAGCACGCAAACATAGTTTTCAAGTAAACAACCAATTGATGATGCAGAAGACAGGAAAGTGATTCCACATACCCCCCCCCCAAACGAAAATGCTCAGACGGTTTTCGTTATTTTCTTAGTTCGGAACTCTCTCTCTCTCTCTCTCTCCCTCTCTCTCTCTCTCTCTCTCTCTCACACACACANCACACACACACACACACACACACACACACACACACACACACACACGCGCGCACACACACACACATACACACACACACACGCTCACTTTTCCCCCTTCTCTCTTCCGCCTCCTCGATTCCATCTTTCAGTCTGTGTCCTTCATCCGCCCTTTCTCTCCTCCATAGGGATCCACTTCAGGCTGCGACTTCGCCAATACTTAATGTGACCCCTTTGGATCTGGTATGTCCTTTCCTCTCTTCGTCTGTCTGTCGCTCTTTCACTCTTCATTGCTCTCCTCCATCACCTGTATATCCATGTTTACCCTATTCCTCTCGTGATCCAGGCCCTTAGTCGTTATCTTGCTCTTTCCCCTCCCTCTGCAATGAGCATCTCTTCCCCCCTTTTTTTTCTTTTTTTTTTTCTAATAAAAGGCGACAGCCTTGAGATATCATCTTTGGACTGACCGACTCAGGTAATTCGAATTATTTTACTTTGTTCATCTAACTGCAACTAGATTCAAACTTGGGTCTGTATTTCAATAGTTCAGGGGTGTGCCAATTGAGTTGGGCTCGTTGGTTCTTCCTACCTGTCAATCTCTTCTTCCCCACCTTGTCCGTACCTCCCTACACGACTTGCATTCCTTATCCCGTTGTGTTATTTCCCCTATGCTTCATGGTCCCTACATCCTCACCCTTACCGGCTGACATTTCGAACTCCTCCTCTTGATCCCACATCACCCTGATTGCCCCCTTCCCCCCCTCCCAATCCGTGCTCCGCATCCCCCGCTTCACAACTTGGGTTCCCGACCTACATCCTCCTACCGTTTACTTTAGGATCCCCCTCGACGTCTTCCCTATCCACGACCTCCTCGATGTCGGTAATCTTACCTCGCACGCGTCATACTATTATGATGACTCTCATTTTCCTTCCTCTGTCTCTGTGTCCCCATCGCCACTAAACAACTTCCGACCCTATCATCGTCCTGATTCTGTATCCTTCCCCTCCCCCTTCGTCCTTCTCCTGCTACTCTAGCCCCACAAGGTTTCAATGACGACCTTCTCCTCTCACTGTTCCTCCATTTCTGAATGCAGGTCTCTGACTTTCACCTTCCTACCTGACTAGGCACCTGACATTCCTCTACAGTAGTGTTCTTTCTTCCTTGGCCTTTCCATCGGTATGATCCCGATCTGACAACTAAATTCCAATCCCGCCTAGTCCTTCCGATATCGGCCAGGTGCAAAACCTGTCCCCCGTGCATTATGGCACCCCAACAAAGAATGGAGTTCCAATTCTAAGCAATGGTTGGACGGAGGGAAGGAGGAATGTATGAACGTGGGGGGCGGATGAGGGAGGGAGAAGAGAGAGAGAGAGAGGGTGCACTACGACACCGAGTGTGAACGAAACTCTCCACCTTTTAACGCACAACATCTGTGTGTCTGTGTGTGTAAGCGAGAGAGAGAGAGAGAGAGAGAGAGAGAGAGAGAGAGAGAGAGAGAGAGAGAGAGAGRAAAAAAAAAAAAAAAGATTCGCCACAATGTGCGAGCTTACCTATTTCGTTTTTAGGCCAAGTGTGAGCGAAATTCTCCACGTCTTCACGCACCTTGATGAAAGAGAGACAGAGCGCAATTTTGCAAGCCGGTTTGCATGCAGCACAATCTTGGCGGACAACCCAGCGTCGACACGAATTGGGCTGCGCGAAAACCAGCGATCCGACGACGCTCTTTACCTCTTTAGGCAACGCTGAACCTTGTGCGCCCAGTGTGTTGGGTGTAGACTGAACCTTCGAGAATGAGAATTCTTCGAGATAAAACGAGGCTTCACGTCCTTTGGGACAAAGGAGATTAGCATGATTAGCATGACCCTTGCGCAAGGATAACACACATAATTGAGAAGTAATAATTGACAAAATACTCCTATAAGTTGAAATATATGCCAAAATGCCCCTAAAAGTCCTCAATAGAGTGGAATACCCCTCTGACAAAAACCACTTTTGCGAAATACCCCTGACATTCGTTGGACTCCCCATATTGCAAAATACCCCTATCAGTTACCATCCAACGTCGCATAATGTCCTGGTGCTTGCCAACTGTTTCATGGTCAGATTTATTTCAATTGTACACCAACCAACCCAGGTCATCTTTAGGTTTAGCTGGCTAGACGTTGGGCGACAATAGGCTAGACCACAACTCCCCACGATTGGTACTTTTTTTTTTCTCTCTCTCTATCTCTCCTTCCCCCCMCCCTCCCGCCCCCGCCTGTTTTAAATGTGCAAAATGTGAATGAATCCTTTTGCATTTAGGGCAAGATTCATTCTCATTTGACACAAACGAGTTGCTCACGAGAGAGAGAGGAAAAAAAACAGTGAGAGTGTCCCAACAAGTTTGTCAAAGCTCCCTCTCTCTGTCTCTCGGTTCATTTCTTTGTTTGTTTGTTTTTTTATATTTTTTTTACTATAATCACGTTCATGGTTTTTTTTTTTGCTTTTTTATTTTATAAACTACGATTGTGCCGCTACCAGTAACTCTAGGCTCGGCAGGCTCAACATCCTGGTAACGAAAGACTCAGACTTCCTAGATGTGAAAGAGACGAATATTGTTTTTTCTTAATTGTAAAAATGAAAATCCAGTTATGTTTTTTTGGGTATCATTATTCATAATCAATAATATTCTTATTATATTAATAATATTCTTATTATATTAATAATATTTTTATTATATTAATAATATTCTTATTATATTATATAAATATAAAGTTCTTAATTTTATTATTAATTATTTCATTTTTTTTTATGATACGAGATTGATATTATAAATTTGTACCCGTCCCTTGTCTTTCGATTTCTTAGCAAAGTCTGTCTCCTTCCCCATTTTGTTTACGAGAATACTATCATGTCTTTTACTTTTGAACAACTCGCAGATCCATACAACTGACCTAATGATAAATAAGTGCGGCAGCTTGATAAACATTTCTTTGATACTGAATGAGCCAGAAAGGAGAAAACCATAGGGCAGCTTCTTAGCAACAATATTGATTTTTTCAATCCTATATGAAAGAAGAGAAGTAGGGCGAAGGTAGAAGTTGAAACCCTGCGGGAGAGCCGAAAGAAGTGCATTGATAGCCTGCCCAATCATGCGATACTCCCTGATACTAAGCTCGGAGAAGGAGGGTGAGATAAACCTCCATCTGTCGATGTCCTTGTGCTTCGGTACATACATATTACCAAGTTTGTCTCTATTGTTCCAATCACCAATAATGTGACACCGATACGATAAAAAATATCCCCTACAAGTTTATTAACCTTAGACTCATCCTTTAAGTTATCAAATTGGAAATAGTCTCGTTACTCGGAAAGAGTTAGTGTAAGCATAAATGACATGACAAAAGATATACGTGTCATTCACAATGTGATTAATAGGCATAAGGGCCAAACCCTCCAATCCTACTGACCATGAGGATGCGAAAGTTTATCGAAACCAAATAAGGGATGGGGAAGTATCAACACCATTGACCTGTTCCAATTAAACCTCTTCTGAAAGTTTACAGATGTTGTTAGATTTGAAAAAAAACGAAGGCAAGTTTGCCAG